TGTGGGGACCTGAGGGGGCTCGGCCGGGCCTGAGGGGGCCGCGGCGGCCTGAGGGCGCGCAGTTCTTCCGGACGCGCCGAGCCGGAGGGACGCGGGAGCTGACCCGGTGAGCGGACAGTGCCCGAGGTGGTTCGCGCGTGGGAGAGCCCGCGGGAGTTCAGGGCGGCTGGGCGTGGAGTCTGAGGAGAGGGGGAAGCAAAGGGGGGATTACTAAGGGTGTTGTAGGCCATTTCAGGGGTTTTATCTTCCTCTGCAGTGAAGGGAAGCTCCACAGGGTTTAAAACCGGGCTGGGGGAAGGGGTTGAGTTTCCCGAAGGCCGTGGGTCTTCGGAAGGCCCTCCTGGCCCCTTCTGCGGGCCGGAGACCAGTCCCGAGGCGCGGAGCCGGGTGGGCGGCTCCGGAGTAGGACTGTGGCGGTGGGGGCGAAGGAAGGCGCGCCGGTTCAGGGTCCTGAGGGGGTGGAGCAGGCGGGGCTTGCTGGTGGCCGAGATCGGTGGTTCTTTACTGGGCAGTTGCCGCCTGGGGACTTTGGCGGTGCCTGGGGACACTTTAGGTTGTAACCACTGTGAGGTCAGGGAGCGCTGCTGGCGCCTGATCGGAGAGGCCACGGCGAGGGGGCCTGCAGAGGCCTGAGGTCACCGATGGACGGGAGGGGCAGAGGAAAGGGCCTGAAGTGGGGACAGAGAAGGGACCAAGAAATAGAAGGGACGCCGGGAAAGCTCAGGAAAGGGAGCGTTGAGTCAGGAGGGGAACTGGCAGCAGCAGCAGCATGGAGAGGCCGTTAGATCCGCGCTGCCGCTCCCCGGATGCCTTCGCCTCCAGGCGCCCAGCTGCAGTGGCCGCCGAGGCGGAGGCAGGCCGAGGTGACTGAGGAGAACCTGGGGACGAAAAATTAGCAAATGCAGACAGCTTTGGACGGAAGCTTGGCGATCCTGAGGAGGAGGGAACGCGGGTGACAACTGCAGGAGGGGCGAGGGGGCGAGGGGCCCTTTTTAAAGCAGTGAAGACGGGCGCGTGCCGGTCCTGATGGGAAGATGCCGGTGGAGAGGGGTCTGAACTGGCCCGGGGGTTAGGGCGCCCCCTGGGGGAGAGGGAGCTCGGCCGCTCGCTCGTCACCCGGCGCGTGAGCGCCTGCCCTGCTCCGGGTGATTTGGGGGCGGTGGGATACAGCGGTAAGCAAAAAGCGCAGAAGTTCCTGTCCTCATGGGCACAGGCAATAAACAGTAAGCAAACTAGTAAGTGAAATACGTTGTTTATTAGGCGGTGAAAAATACTAGAGGAAGGGGATGCAGTTTTTAATTTTCGTCAGGAAAAGCTGCACTAAGAAGGTGCCATTTGAGCGAAAGCTTGAGGGAGGTGGAGGAGCTCATTACCTGGTTATGCAGAAGTGGAAAGTGAAGCAGCTTCTCGGGGGCCAGGAAAGAGGATCAGGGAAGCAAAGGTGGCTGTTCAGCGGTGAGGGTCCCCTGAGGTTGAAGACATTCAGTTTAACGCCTGCTCAGCTGTGTGATTCTTTTATCCCTCCAGCAGGTGGCCACACCCTGACCCTGGGTCAACACAACTGCCCACTGCGCTTTCACAGCACCCACTCTCATAACACAGTGCCCAATGTGTGGGCCCAGGGTCAGCCTCTGGCCATGTGGGTGTACCAAAGTGCAGTGGGACAAGGGTAAGAATTTTTGGCTGAGAGACTGGTTGAAGTGACAGACCATGAAATCCATGTTGAGTAGGGGAAGGAAGAGATGGGAGACAGAATAAGGTGTCTGTCTACCTGCAAAGTAGGGATAAAAAACCACACAGCTAAGCACCTGTGAAACTGAGTGGTCCATAGAGTCAGACGGGACCCAACTCTGCCTTTTCATTCACTCTTACTAAATATAAAATTAGATTAACAAGAGGCAAAGTGAGTTTCTTAACTTTGCAGAGTTCAGTATTTCTTATTTTTAATCCTCACCTGAAGATGTTTTTATTGATTTTTAGAGAGAGAGGAAAAGGGAGAGAGAGAAACATTGATGGGATAGTTGTAATATAAGTACCATTTTCCTATCAGACTGAGATTTATGAACTTGAACTGAGATTTATGGTGTTTAAGACATGCCAGGCAGCATTAGGTAATTGTTTGTTGTTGTTAACCCTCACCCAAGGATATTTTTTCCATTGACGTTTAGAGAGAGTGGAAGGGAGAGTGGGAAGTGGGGAGGGGGTGAGAGAGAGAGAGAGAAACATTGATGTGAGACACATCAATCGGTTGTCTCCCGCATGTGCCCTGACTGGGGCCAGGCATTGAACACGCAACCCAGGCACATGCCCTTGGCTGCAGTCGAACCCCTGACCCTTAAGTGTGCGGGCTGATGCTCTAAGCACTGAGCCACACTGGCCAGGACGTGTTAGGTAATTCTTTTAAAAGATTCACTAGCAAATGTTATGTTTTTTTCCTTTAGAATGAAGATCTAGTTTGCTTCAAAGATGTCAAACCAGCAGCACCTCACCATTATCTTGTAGTGCCAAAGAAGCATATTAGAAACTGCACAGATCTAAAGAAAGAGCAAATAGGACTCGGTAAGATGATGGCAGTATTCTTCACGGGCCTGTCATCTTGAATTGGCATCAGTGATGGCAGTGACAACTAAAAAGGAAAAGTCAGGGGGGGGCCTTGCCGGGAAGAAGGGGTCAACAGGGAAGAAAAGAAGACATTTGTAATACTTCCAACAATAAAGATAAATTCTTTTAAAAAAAGTCTAGCTAGGTATTATGAAAAGGAGCATTATGATATTTTGAAACATACACTTGTGAAAAATTTCAAATATATACAAAAATAAAGAAAATAGTATAATCTCCATGTATTCATTGCTCAGCCTCAATATTTATTAACTCATGGCCAATTTTTTCCACCTGTTAATCTTCTACAGTGGATTTGAAGCAAATTCCAGATACCATGTTCTATGTGTCGTTGAGTTGGCTCCAACTCCTGGTGACTCTCTGAATGAGTGATGTGTATAGTGTCCTGTCCTCAGCAGCCCTGCTCAGCACCTCTAGACTCATGCCTATGCCTTCTTTTATGGAGTCAATCCAGCTCATATTTGGTCTTCCTCTGTTCCTGCTGCCTTCTTTTTCCCCTAGCATTGTTCTTTCAAAGAACCCTGCCCTCTCATGGTTTATTTAATCTTTAAAATCTCTAAAAGATAATTCCTTTTTATGTTTTTTAAATGATGGCTTTTCTTGACTCTGAAAATGAAAGGTGCTATGAAAAATTATATACAAAAAAGTTATGATATAGCATATGAGCTCTATTGCCTGAGAGAGACCGTATTGGTACCTGCCTTGTAGTTTCCTGAGTAGATGAGATTTCAGTGATGAAGTTTTAGCCTCTGAAAAGGAGATTCTGAATTTTTTCTTCTTACAAGATTATCCTATGTTTTTCTACTCGTGATTTCTGTGACTTGTCAGTTATCATTTACTGAGATATTTTTAAGTTCATTTCCAATCTGCTTTGATATCCTTTGTCACCAGGGTTTGGGATTAGTTTGGTCAATACTTTTAGGTAGCTCGCAAGATAGATAAATTTAACTGTTTTGAAGGTGAATAAGAAATCTCTTTGATAGAAGATCTTGATGTGTGTAGTTCATTAGTATTTAGACTACTGAATTACCAGTATTTGAACGTGTGTTTTTTTTTTCTAGATAATGCAAGGCTCTTAGTCATCTGAAGTTCTATCAGTGTATTTCACACTCATTCCAACATGGAGGCCAATATACATGGCAATATTTAGTACCAGGCAACAGCCACCACCATAGCCTTAAGTACTGATATACTTTTATATTACTTTTTATACTGTTTTTCTTAAGGATGGACAAATTTTCTTTTTCTAGCATTTCAATTATTTTTATTAAAAGTTTTTTTATAACTTGCAAATCAAATGTTACTAATTTTGAAATAGCATGGTGGGTATTTGGGACTTTATTATACTTATGCTGCTCTTTCTCATTTTGTGTACATTTTAATATTTCATTTTTCAACTTGATTTTATTTTTTTAAATTGTCTTTATTGTTGAGCGTATTACAGATGTCCCCCATTTTTCTTCCATTGCCCCCCTCAATCCAGTTCCTGCACCACCCCAGGCCTTCACCATACTGTTGTGTCCATGGGCTATGCATATATGCATATAAGTTCTTAGGTTAGTCTCTCCCCACCCACCCATCCACCCCTGCCTTCCCTCTGAGATTCGTCAGCCTGATTCATGCTTCTATGCCTTAGTTTATTTTGTTCATTAGATTCCACCTATAAGTGAGATCATGTGATACTTGTCTTTCTCTGCCTGGCTTATTTCGTTTAGCATAATACTCTCCAGGTCCATCCATGCTGTCTGAAAGAGTAAGAGATCCTTCTTTTTTATAGCTGCATAGTCCATGGTGTAAATGTACTACAGCTTTTTATCCACTCATCTACTGATGGGCACTTGGGCTGTTTCCAGATCTTATCTATTGTAAATAGTGCTGCTATGAACATAGGGGCACATATATTCTTTCTGATTGGTGTGTTAGGCTTCTTAGGATATATTCCTCGAAGTGGGATCGCTGGGTCAAATGGCAGTTCCATTTTTAATTTTTTGAGGAAACTCCATACTTTCTTCCATAATGGTTGTACCAGTCTGCATTCCTGCCAGCGGTTTACTAGGCTTCTCTTTTCTCCACATCCTCGCCAGCACTTGTTTGTTGATTTATTGATGGTAGCCATTCTGGCAGGTGTGAGGTAACATCTCATTGTGGTTTTTTATTTGCACCTCTCTGATGATTAGTGACTTTGAGCATTTTTTCATATTTCTACCAGCTGTCTGTATGCCTTCTTTGAGAAGTGTCTATTTAGGTCTTCTGCCCATTTTTTAATTGGATTATTTGTCTTCCTCTTGTTGAGTTGTATGAATTCTTTATATATTTTGGAAATGAACCCCTTATCAGATGCATCATTGGCAAATATGTTCTCCAATATAGTGGGTTCCCTTTGCATTTTTTAAAAAAAATACGCTTTTATTGATTTCAGAGAGAGGAAGGGAAAGGGAGAGAGAGAGAAACATCAAGGATGAGAGACTGTCATTGATCAGCTGCCTCCTACATGGCCCCCTGACCAGGAATTAAACCATGACCACCTGATTCATAGGTCGATGCTCAACCTCTGAGTTGGCCAGGCTCTCTTTGCATTTTGAGGATGGTTTTTCTGGGCAGAAGCTTTTTAGTTTGATGTAGTCCCATTTGTTTATTTTTTCCTTTGTTTCTCTTGTCCTAGGAGGTGTATCTGAATGTGTCTTTTAATGTTTACCCATTTGATACATTTTTGACTAGGACCCTAAAAGTTAAAGATTAATGATACTTTAGTAAATTTAATGCCTCCTATAGTGTAATGTAGTTTCTTTCCTGTTTATAGTTGAGGACATGGTTGCTGTTGGAAAAACCATTCTTGAAAAGAATAATTTCACCGACTTCCAAAATGTGAGGTATGTATACTTCCATATAGAAACCAATATTCACAGTTGGTTTTCTGAAATGTCATTTCCTCGTGGAAGAGGAAAGCAGAGCTGGCAGAGTTTATACTTTAAATGCAGTTTTCCTGAAAGTGAGAGTATAGTTCATTGGTAGTTTAATTAAAAAAAGTGTTCCTCTCATGTCTAATGAAAAAAAATCTAAAAATCACCACTTATAATTTGGGTGGACAAGTATACTCCAGCAGTGGGTAGGCAGAATAGCTACAAGTCAACTTCCTTTGTTCAATATGTGCATTTCTATAAAATTGTATGTAAATCAAATTTCCTTAGAAAATATTTTATTTTGTGTGGTTTAAAAATACATTATTATACTTCTAGCATGAAATTAACTTGAATTCGCTCCCTGCTTAACTGAACTCTGGCACTTGTCAAAGTTTGAGCAAAAGCACAAAATGTTCAATTTGGCAACTATTTTTTTGTTTGTTTTTAAATATTTCTGACTTCTCCTGTGTGACCAAAGCAGTACCAAGGCAGGTATAATGGAGATTACTTCTGACTCCTCTGAACTGAAATTCAGAGAAACCTGAATTCTAATGCTATCCAGGCTATTTGCTGTGTACTGTCTGTGTTACTTTAGACAAGTCTTTTAACCTCTCCAAGATAATATACCTGCTCTGCCTACTTGTAGGTTCAGGTGAGACTGTGTGTGAAAATCCTCTGAAAACTGTTAAGCAATACCCAAGAGTGATAATAACAAGGAACAAATGGTATTTGATATCCTTTGGCCAAAAGCAGCACATTCCCTTCCTAACCATAGGAGTGCTTGCTTGTTATAAGAATGAACATTGGACTAAGAGTTAAGAGCCCTGAGTCTAAATTGTAACTGCCACTTTGTAGTGGCGGTCTCTTAAACTTTTTGGGTCTTGGCTTTCCCATCTTTAAAATGAAAGGGTTGAGTTTCTTCTAGCGTTAAGATTACTTGATCGTGTTTCGCATAGGGAAAACCTGGTTTCCTTTTCTAGGTAGTGGTGAAAACTTTTTAATGTGTTGTATATCTGACTTACATTGTCCTATATTGATACAATATAGCACTTCTCCTCTGCCTTCTTCCACTTAGAATGGACTTGAAATACTATAAATTGATTTTTAAAAGGTTAAAATATTTTAAAAAATTTACTAGTCAAAGGTATTCTCTTATTTTGTAAAGCAAATGAATATGAATAATTGTAATCTAACTTTTCCTTATTAAACAAGAAACAAGTGTAAAATTTTTTTAATGATGATATAATGCATTTCACTGCTGAAATACTGGTTCCTAATGAAATGATTTACCGCTTTTATTAAAAGAGAAAGCTCGCCATCTACTGGCCATGTCTTGGGATAATGGAACCACACTTGAGTGCCCTGTAATTTTTTTAAAAAAGATTTATTGCAGAGGCATATATTAGGAGAATTAAAGCTTAGTATGGTAAAGACTGAAAGTGATAACACAGAATGCCACCTCAGAATTCATGAAGGCTGTATGGAGGCACAATATGCTGTTAGGCCTTCCTTGATGAAGAGTTTGTGTTACTGGGCACTTAAACGTGAAAAGAAGAGGAACTGTGTGAATACTTTGAAGTGTGTAAAGAAAAACAGTAAAAGAGACGTTTGAGTGGAAACCTACCTTAGGTAACCTGTGTTGGATCTCTGAGATTTATGTGTTTTAACATGAAAAAAATTAGCTTTAAACTATTGTAGAACTGATTTGTCAATTATCTCCTACCTTTCTGTTTTAGAATGGGTTTCCATGTGCCACCGTTCTGTTCCATTTCCCACTTGCACCTTCATGTTATAGCACCAGTCGATCATTTTAGCTTCCTGTCAAGATTGGTCTATAGAGCAGATTCCTACTGGTTTGTCACAGTAAGTGTTACTGTTGCACAAGCAGCATATAAAGTGTTTTAACATTTCTGTCCTTTTCCTTGTAGCTTTTATTTTCTTGGAACAGCTTTCATAAGCGTGATTGTCTATTTTAACATACTGCTTGCACATACCCAAAATAATATTTTTAACTTGGGGGGCTTTCCAGGTCACCAGATCTATAGGAAGAGAAGCTAAGGCTAAGTCTCTCTGTTCCAAGCAGAGGATGTGCTGTGGAAGAACCATGGCATTAATAGTGCAGAATCCAGAATCAAATCTGGATTCAATTCTGGTGTCATTAGTTACTTGAGGGACCATGTGCGAGTTACCTAAATTTTTTGAGGCCCAAGTTCTTTATCTGTTACCTGCATCTAGTACCTACCTCTATAGAATTTATAAAGAATTTATAATTTTGATTATAAAATTGAGTATAGAATTTATAAAATAATTTACATATAAAGCACTTAAAACTGTACCTTGCAAACAGTAAGTACTCAGTAAATGTTACCTGCAGCATCTGTCCTCATCAGCAACATTATTGTAGAAATTGAGATTTTCTCATTTTTGATAGTTTAAACCCCTTAAAAAAGGGCTACAATAGTAACATCAACTACCAGATGTGAGGTTGAAGCGTTGAGCTTAATAAATTGCAAAATTCTGCTTTGCTAGGACAAAAGTAGAATAGAATTCAGCTGCTTATAGACCTGTGGCCTGACAGTCAAGCCTTAGTTATTAAATGACTCTGTCCTTCCAGGCCACTGGACTAGTGATTTACCAGTCTCTTATTTTATGTGTCCATGATGATAAGATGACCAATAGTTGCTATATCTGAGTAATTTTTAAATTGCAAATTAAATAATTACCATTAATGCATATTATTATAGTCATAGTACATAAATTCAAAAGCATCTGATTTCTAGAAACTTCGTATTTCAAACTTATTCCTCTCTTTAACTTGGCTAGATGACTTAATTGAAATATATTTAAGAAATTTGTGTGTGTATGTGTGTGTGTGTATTTGAAATAAAATAGGAGATTTTGCAGGACAGTTGGTGTAGTCTCTAAAATATCAATGTGATAAAAGCGGGATTTTTTTTCTTACTTGCATTTCTAATTTCCTATATAATCCAGGCTTTTATAGTAAAAATTAATTTGTAAATTACAGTGTAGGGAATATAGTCAATAATATTGAATTAACTATATATGGTCAGAAGGTTACTAGACTTACTGGGTTGAACACTTCCTAAGGTGTATAAATGTCTAATCACTATGTTGTACACTTGAAGCTAATATAATATGTCCACTGTATTTGTAAAATGAAATTTTTTTAAAAAGAGGGAATTCTGACCCATGCTACAACATGGATGAACCTTGAGGACATTACACTAATGAAAATAAACCAAACAGTATATTCCACTTATATTTAGTTTTCTTGTAAGATATTTTTAGGAAGAGAATTTGTATTATCCAGCGAATCTGCTGTGGTTTATAGGATTATTTCACACCAGCTACAATATCTGGAATAAAAAATATGGTTTTTTAAATTACAGGCTGATTATTTGATTGAAAAACTAAAAGCATGAAAATGACAGCAGTGGAAGATTTGCTTATTCTTGGCTCAACATAAACTAATATTTTGGTCCCTTTTAAGTCAAATTACAGTGGTAAGGTTTATTGGGTTTTATAAGAGGCTATTACTGGGTAGCCTTAAATCTTTTCTGAATGTCTGTTTCCTGAGATCTGTGATAGAGTTATATGAATCCTTTGTCATTGTCTTCTTTCTTTTAATGGTTACTGTCTAAGGTATAAGATACTATAGATAAAATTTCATTAAAACATTCTGTTAATCAAGAAGGGCTCTGTATTTTAAAAAAGTTCAAATATTTTCATTTCTCACTATTGCCAATTATAATAGTGATTTATTATGAAGAATAAACTGGTATAGAAAGTACTTTGTTGGAGTCTTTGTTCCTATGAAAGAGAAAAAGAAATTAACTATCTCTTGACAGTTCCATGATTTTGCATATAATATTTCAAATTAAAGAGTACCATATTACACAGTGATCTCTGATCTTGATAGAATTTATATACATGTCATTTTTTACTCAGATTTCAGATGCTGGTTTTCACTTCTTGAAGCCTAGCATTTGCGTAATAAATTAATTCTGAAATCTATATAATATATATAATAATTTCTAACAGTGACTTTGCACTAACAATCAATTTGGCTATCTAAGGGAATTCACTGTAATGGAATTTTACACCTGTAAGAACATATGTGGGGAAGAAACATAAAATGGTTATATTAATTTATTAAAACTGGTAGAAACTCTTGCTTTATGGCTTGTTTAACTGTACCAAAGGATAATTAGAATTAAAAAGTGATAAGATCTAGCTTTTATCATGAAAAAGTCGTGGTTTGAAAGTAGAGACAGACTTGGATGAGAAAATTTATGTTAATAACATAATGTTAACTTTATTAACATATCACTTTATGAGACATATTTCTTTAGGAATTGTCTTTTGTTGCTAATCTAGAATAATAATGTCACTATGTGAATGAAAAGTAGTAGGTACTGAAAGCTAATCCTACATTGTTCCAGTCTATAATAGTGCTATGTACATGAACATAAGTGAATGTAGGATTAAAGTATTGATGTTAGGAATGTAAGAATTAAAATATTGATGTTAGAAATAGGTTAAAATGACTAGTTTTCTTATTTTTTGCATGATAATAAACATAGTTTTAAGTAATGAAATACTAATTGTTTAGTTAAAACACCTGAAATCAATATTGTTTAATTCATTCTTTTATTTATTCATTCAGCAAATATTTGCTGAGCATTTAACGTGTATCAGCGTATCAGCCATTGCTAGGATCAGGAAATATAGAAGTGAGAAATTACTGCCTTCAATGGCTAATACAAGGATCAGACAAAACTAGTGATTATAGTTGAATGAATTAAGTGCTATAATGTCTACAGAAGAGGCTGTGGAGAGGGAAACACATTTGAGAGCAGGTGGCAACAGAATTGAGTATTTAAGATTCAATGTTAGGGAGGTGGATAGTGGAACTTCAGGTTGAGAGACCCAAATGTACTTTTTCTTGTGTTCTGCTTCCATTATTATTTACTTTACAATGGATATGAATGCCCAAATTCCGTTTTATTCACCGGAGGTGGAGAGAGGAATTTGGGAGTAGGGGTTATGGACTCTGAAAATCAGATTTACAAGTTTTTGAGCACTGTTTTGTTAAGCAGCTGCTGAGCACTTATACAGATTAGCAGCTACAAGTTTATATAAATCAGTTAAAATATGACCAGATACAGAAAAGGAATATTCAGCATGTGCACCATGTTGTACTATGTGAACTTGCAGTGATATAATTAACAACATTATGATAATGACATTTAGTGCTTATGGAATTTTCAGTGACTCATGAACCTTTTAAAAAATGTGATTAGCCAGTTGATTTTAATTTATATAGGTTTATACTTTCTCACAGTTTTTCTTCTTTGTTGGAAGATTCTTAGAACTTCACACTTTCAGTGCAGTTTTCTTTAACTTGTAAACATTAATAATGAAATTATTGCAATTAAAATTTACTCAGCCTTTTCAGTAGTTTAAGAATTTGGTACCTATAATGTTAGCTCAGCACAAAGCTAATTCAAAACCTATCTTAAAATGTTTAAAGTAGTATCAAAAGCATTATTTATATAAGTTGTCATACTTGTTTGTAATCAAAGAACTGTAAAATTATTAATAATGAGCCATTTCAAACTGTACTTAGCTAAAAGAAGGCTAAATAAATGTGGAAAAATACTGTGTCAAATTTTGTCTTTCTGAATTTTTTGGTTTGTTTTTAAAGACTTTATTTTTTTAGGGTAGTTTTAGGTTCACAGCAAAATTGAGAGGAAGGTATAGAGATTTCCCAAACACCCCCTACCCCCACACATGCGTAGCCTCTTCCATTATTAACATTCTCCACCAGAGTGGTACATTTGTTACAAGTGTTGAACCCACATTGACACATCATAATTACCCAAAGTCCATAGGTTATTTTAGGGCTCACTGTTGGTGTACATTCTGTGGGTTTGGGCAAATGTATAATGACATGTGTCTATCATTATAGTACCATATAGAGTACATTCACTGCTCTAAAAAGCCTCTGTGCTCTGCCAATTCACCCTTCCCCCTCCAACCCCTGGCAACCACTCATCTTATTGTCTGCATAGTTTTACCTTTTCCAGAATGTCATATCGTTGGAATCATACAGTATGTAGCATTTTAAGATGGGCTTCTTTTACTTAGTAATACATATTTAGGGTTCCTTCATGTTTTTTTATAGCTTGATAGCTCATCTCTTTTTAGTGCTGAATAATATATTGTCAGGAGGTACCACAGTTTATACAGTCACCTTCTGAAGGATATCTTGGTTACTTACAAGTTTTGACAGGAATAAAGCTGCTGTAAACGCCTGTATGCAGGTTTTGTGTGGACATACTCCTTTGGGTAAATACCAAGGAGCACGATTGCTGGATCATATGGTAGTTTTGTAGAAAACTGCCAAACTGTCTTCCAAAGTGGCTGTATCATTTTGCATTCCCACCAGCAATGAATCAATTCCTGTTGCTCCACATCCTTGCCAGAATTTGGTGGTGTCAGTGTTTGGGATTTTGGCCATTCTTTTTTTTTAATTGATTTGAGAGAGATCGATTTTTTGTTTCACTTACTTATGCATTCATTCACTGGTTGCTGATTGTATGTGCCCTGACTGGAGACCGAACCTGCAGCCTTGGCATATTGGGATGCCGGTCTAACCAACTGAGCTACCTGGCCAGGGCAGATTTTGGCCATTCTAATAGGTATGTAGTGGTATCTCATTGTTGTTTTAATTTGCATTTCCCTGATGACATGATATGGCACATCTTTTCATATGCCTATTTGCTATCTATATGTCTTCTTTGGTGAGGTATCTACTAAGGTGGTTGTTTGTTTTCTTA